GTCATTTTACTACAGCGTTTTATAATCATGTCAAACAGTGGCGTAACTACAAATTTAGGTCCCCCCCGCTAATAGATAAGAATTTCAAGTAGTAATTAAAACCTAAAACTTTTTTTGTGGGGATTCGTTTTAGTATTCTTTTTTAGAATTTTAGATAAAAACTGTCTTTTAAAATAACGAAGGGTTGGATTGGATGTCAATCCTAGTACATACGTACTACATTTTACACATTTTACAAATTTATAAACTTGTTTATTGCACTAATCATCTTAAATCTGATAAGTATAAGTAAACTGTATTAAAAAATAGATGAACCAAATCTATAAAGTTACTAAAAACCCTTTTTTCTAGCTTTTCTTTCAGAAAAAGAAGTAATGGCCTGGCCAATGTCAATTTCTCGCTCCAAATCATTTTCGATTGCCAAAAGTGCTTGAGAAATTCTGTTTCTCAAATAATTTTTAATTATTTCTAATTTAGAGAAAGACCTTTCATTACTTGCGACGCTTATGGGTGAAGTCAAATACATTATCAGAGCTTTAATTGTATTAGAAAAGCTAGATACGCATGTAGGATTATCAACTAACTAATATTTTAAAAACTCAGTTATGCTCTCAATATTCTGAAGGTCTTTACATAATAATTTATTATTTCATATGGCAACTAGTTCAAGACCTAAGGATTCAGTTTTATTAAAATCACTTTTATAAAATATTTCCAACTCATCGCCTTTTTTGACAAAAATTTCTGGCGCTAATTTAAAAAGCATAGATGGGTTTAGGAAACTAAATTTTTCATTACCATGAAAAAATGATTCAAAACGACACTTTATTTGAACGTTTATGGTATCCAATGTTGCAATAGTACAATTTTTTTCCAGGAATCATATATACTTGCGTGCATAGAAATCAGCCCACTGTAAACTTTTGACTTTAACTATATATTTTTTTTTAATTATTAAATAACATTACTGTTATTAATTATTAGACAACATTAAAGCATATTAAATTGTCTTTCAAACAGCAAATTTTTTATTTGATTTGATGAATAATTACAAAAAAATATAGTTAAATTCAAAAGTTTACAGTGGGCCGATTTCTATGCACGCAAGTATATAAAACAACACGTCAGATGGGACTCAGTTAAAAAATGTTCTTTACTTTTTGTTGATAAACCCTGCCAGTCATTAAGTCCCGATATCCATCTTGACGCTAATCTATGCTGAACAGTGCTAAACAGCCAACATGGCTGATAATAAGCAAGATCTTTGTTTTTCGAATAACACACCCAATTATTATTTTTAGTGTAATAATAACTTTCTGAAAAGGATCTTTGTTTTTGATCCTTCGGAAAAGAATCACTAGGCCTTGATAGTCTATAATCAATAATTAGCTTCCTTAGTTTATTACATTTTAAAATGTTAACATTTGAAAAATGCGCAAAATCAGTAGGATAGGTATTATTAACATTAAAAAGGGTAACCGAATTATTTTCTTCAACTTCACTATCGATATCTGGTTGGGTAGTAGTGGTAACTCAGTGTCTATGCTCATGGGATATGTTTTTATTAAATTTTCAGTTGGTCTTGGGATAATTGTAATCGAATATTAACATGAACACTCGCGCCACTCGTAGAGAGAGTCTGATGATCTACAACGTTTAGGATCGTTGCATTTAATGGTTTCAGATTGCAAAAGAAAGACATCGATTTTGGGTAGTTTTTCTTTTGCTTCATTCAACAATTTTCTCTTTCTTTTTTTTAAGCTTCACTTTTTTTTGGGTCGTGTTCATTTCTAAAGAAAAAATAAAAAATACTATCAAGACAAGTAGCTAGGTATCAAGGTTTTTAATAAAATCTGCAATTTTAGAAAAACGGCGTAGTGTGGTAACGCCGCGTCAGGAATTCTTAACTGACTGCTGACTATGTTTAGTATTGTCTAGAACACAGCCCAACATAACATATTTGAAGCTAAACTAGCTAAAGAAATTGACACGAACACATTATTATTAAAATATAGATACTTAATTACTTGCTCTGCTGATCTTTAACAACTGTTAACCACTAACCAGTAACGACATGCATCTTTAAAAAGTGTAAATTAGTAAACTACACTTTATACACAGGTTCCAGAGTTGCAGCATTTTACAATGTTCTCACTAGTTGTCACGTATGATTATTTTAAGCGACTTTTGCTTACAAAATATTTTTAAAGTCAAGATTTACCTTTTTACAAATGCTTTTTTTTTATTTCTCTCTTCGCAACCGGTCAGCGGTCGGCCGCCGGGGGTCCTTTTCTCCTCTGTCCAACCAGTCAGCCGGAGGCCCCCAGTACCAGCGGCCCCCCCCGCGTCGCGGGGGCTTGCGGGGGTGTAGCTACGCCACTGATGTCAAACATAAATATTCAAATCAACGCCAAATATTTAGTCCATTTTCATTTTCTGTGTTACGTTTTAAAAACAATTGCATAATTTATATTATTTTCAATAATTTAATAAATAAATTAATAAAAAAATGTATTTTATTAAAAATGTCATTACAAATTATGAACACAAACCTAAATAAATGCCTCAAACAAAGGTACACGATCACGGCTACTATGATTTGGATAATACAACTGCAGTTCTATAAAACATTTTTTGGTTTTTGCATGAACGTAGAAAAAATATTGTATGAAACTCGCGCAAAAAGTGTTTATTGCCCTCGACTGTTGTCCAACTCGGCCTGACGCCTCGTTGGACAATTTCACGTCGCGTGCAATGAACACTTATCCAATAGGTAAATATACAAAATATTAATTTTTTGTTTACCTCTAACTAAACATTATTTATTACCTATATGTATGTATATCTAATGTATGGGTTTTTAGTTCTGATTCAACTGTTTTTGGAACACCACCTGCTACTACAAATACCACTAATAACTAAGCATAAAAAAATTAAATGAAATTTTAGTTAATAAAATTAAGGTATTTATTATGTTTAAAATGTTATTTTAAAAATTTTTAGAGTTTTTTTACGATATTTTTTTGTAATTATTAATTAAAAAATTATATATTTTTAGGACAGTGTTTTATTTAGATACCCCTACCTACTTAATGTTAATTTAAAATTTTAAATAATTTTGATTAACATCATACCAATAAATATTAAAAATCGGAAGGTAACTTGATTTCTTTTGTATTTGAATTTACTTGTACTTGAATTTACCTACATGAAAAAATAATAATTATATTACTAAAAAAATATACCTACTTATTTAAGTATTTTTTTAACATACTACTCTGACAATACTGGTAAGCTTAAAATTCTACGCCACTGGAGAGCATATTATGGACACTGTTTACAACGTTGCCAGCCGGTCCTAAGAGATCTGTCTTTCTCTCTTTCACTCACTAACAATTTTAAAACAATAACAGTCCGCAATTGTATGGGATTTATGAATGAAACATTTTGTCTCTATGGTGTAATGTCTTTGCTTTTTTTTTCATTGTAGTTATTATTTATCAAACAGTTTGAAGCTTTTTTTTTTTTTTTTTTTCGATTTATGGCCTAGGTGTATATACCTAATATGCCAGTCTCAAATTTGTGTTTTTAAATTCTCAATCATGTGTGTTCTGTGTAGGCTTTGTTACTGTTTCCCAGCGCCACTTTAGGAACAGCACTGTTAATTAGAACCCAACAGTGAATGGTCGAGCGGGGAATCCTACCAAGGCATCAGAATTAATTTTAAATAATTAAATTAAATGAAAAAATTCCGGCCAACGGTGGGATTCGAACCTGGGACCCTTGGATCCACAGGCACAGGCTCTAACCACTGAGCCACCCACCCCCCTATTTGAAGCTTTTACTAATTTTTATTAAATTTTTAACCTTTGAACAGCGTTTTCTCGAAACTCCAAAAATGTGAGTTATCCTGTTTTTGCAGTAACCCGACGTTATATATATTTATGTTTTGTTATTTATTAGAGGTTCCTTACTAATGTTAAATGATGGTCTAAATAAAGGGTAATCATCCAAAAATATTGCGGCTCGTGTAACATAGCAAACATACGCACGTGGCCCGAAGGAAAAAAAAGTTGAGTATGGCTGCTCTAGACTATATTGTTATAGCCATCAAATACAAAATGGATAAAGAAATAACTACCAAAAAAGTGTGTAGAAAGGTTGTTCGTTTTTGCCAATTATTCTTGAATTTCAAGGAGTGGAAACAGAAATATACATTTTGTATATTTTAAATAATGAAGAACAACCTGTTTTTTTTGTTTCTTCGAATTCAAAAATAGCTACCATCTTCGAGGACAGAATGTTACAATGGCTCAACATTCTACTTGTTTGTTATTTCTGAATTCAAACACCTTTCTAGTTGAGGATTGCGAAAGCATATATTGCGATCTCAAATTTATGAAAACTTTTGAAAATTATAAGGCAATTTATTGTCCTTTTTGCGGAATTCTAACTTTTCTAATATTTTTGTTTTCGTTTTTGAGATTAAAATCAACATTTTTATTAGAAATAGTTTCTCCCCTTCTTCAATTATTCTTTTTGGTAGATCAATTTGACCTTAGAATAGGAAATGTAAACAAAAACAAATGATCGTTAATCAAAATTCCAAATTCCTCGCGTATTTGCAACGCAAATGTTTGAAATAAAACACTTTGGTCATTATAAAAAATGTTCACGTCCCATCCTATCGTTGATTATCGGTATGTCTGTCCTCTGTCCGCCTAGCCAAGCACAGAGGCTGTAGTACGTACAGGATGACTGTTTTTACAGAATATAACACTTTAAGGAAACGTATTTGTATACCTTACAGGAAATTAAACATACCGATTCCACTATTCCATAACCAATGTGACCTTTCACTAGCGAGTAGTAAAGTTTTAAGACATATCTTCCAGTTTTTGATATTTATGGTACGTTTTCGTTTGACCACCCTGTATAAAATACAAAACGAAACATAAAAGTGTTGTTATGTTATTTATTTTCTGGTTTGTTTTCTGTTCAGTCATGTGCGTATGTTCATTCAGACAAGATGCATGTTGCACTTTTTCAAATTCATAGCAGATCAATTGGTGACTTTTTTGAGTGTTCTAAAGACTAAAGTGATCGATTTATTTAACCTCAGGGTATGTTTGTTATTTTTCTTTCAATTTTCTTTTTTTATTATTACTATTATTACTATAACTCAGCATTTATTAAAAAAATCGATTAAGTACTTCCAAGAAATCTTGTATTTAAATTCAGTAAATCGGAAAATCATATCTGAAATAGTGTTTTATTGTTTGGAAATTCCATCGGAAATTAGCAATAATAAAATAATTATTGCTTTAAAAAAATATACCTAAACAATACAAAGATGATTTTTATTGGTTAAGAATATTAATCTAAAATTTGATGTATGGCAAATTTGTAGTTGGCGCACCACAAGGCTCTTATTTAGGACAACTTTGATTTATTGTTCTCATTAATGAGACTTTTGAAAATTCCTCTAATATGTGGATGACTGTCTATTAATAAAAAAATCAAAATCAATTGAAATTCACGGAAAAGTCAGATATGAAAATCTTTATGAAAATGTCTGATTTCTATACAGCTTTTCTCTGTGAACATTTTTTGGTTTTGTTAATTAAATGATTGATTTAGAAGCAAGACATTTTTTATCGTTATCTTAAAAAATTACGTATAAAAATGTTACATATCGATTTCATAAAAAAATATTCTTACGTACTTTTTAGTTTTCAATATTATTATGTGAGTTTCTTCAAAAATGAAACCTTAACCTTATCCTTTATCTATAATATTGTTTAAATGATAGGAAATGTTTAATTCACAGTAAATACCTACTTATGGTATACAATTATATCAAATTTACGTATAATCGATGTTTAATAACCAATAGTATACAGGGTGCTCACCTGTAAAATGCACATTTTTTAACGGATCTCATTTTTTTATATATAAATATATATATTACGGGCAGTGTTGTAAATTGGGCATTGACGATATTGACCGGACACTCACGTCAGCAGCCATATTTGCAGGCCAATATCGTTATTATCTGGGCAGTAACAAAAATGTCCATTAATCGTGGACAATGTTAATAATATTTTTTTTTGCATCTTTGTCCGGCCAATAACGACATCGACCATCAATGAGTGGACAATGTTGAAAATATATTATTTTTTGCTTTTTTTTTCCGACCATTAATGACATTGACTATCAATAAGTGGGTGAAGTTGATTTTAAAGAATTAAGTTGGTACTGTGACCTAACATTTTTACCAGTTACTATTAATCAGTTTTATTGGAGCATGATAATGATCCACGACATTTAGAATTACAAATTTTTTTCTTGGCGCGACAAGCCCATTTATTGTTTTTGCACCCTCCCTTTTAGTGGCAACGCTTATATCCTTGTTTTCCAAAAACAGTGTTTTGTGTTGTGAGATTGCTTTTCCTTTAACGGCGTCACTAAGGTTTTCAAATAATATAAGCTTCTCCAAACATGGATTGAATTCAGATCATTGTTACTCAATATTTTATAAGGTGTTTTATTCAAATCTAAATCGTTGCGGTTTGCGGCCCATACATAAGTGGGCGCTAACGATAACGCTTGGGCAGAATCGTAAAAAGGCTATGTCATTTATAGTTTATCAACATTGTCCAATTTAAGCGAATGTTTACGTAATTGGCCGGTTATTATCAATAATGCTCAATCAAATAGAAGATTTACGGCAATGACCGGTCAATATTGTTAAAGACCGAAATATACAGGGTGTTAGTAAATAAGTGCGACAAACTTCAGGGGGTGATTCAGCATGAAAAAATAATGACAGTTTGCTATATAAACGTATGTCTGAAAATGCTTCGTTTTCCGAATACGGTGTGTTAAAGTTTTTCTTAAAAACTGACAATTTGTTTATTGCTCTGAAACCGGTCAAGATATGCCCCATACGAAAAGATTTTTTGTCACAGATTGAACGAGGAACTCAAAAGTGATTTTTAGTTTGAAATATCTCAGTGGCGTACCATTTTTTTCTTTAAAATAATTGAGATCATTACCCGTTTGCGCGCCAATGATGAACATAAAGTTCAAATGCATGTCAAAAAATGCGCAATAACTACCTCTTAAAGCCCACCAAATTTCATTTGCATATCTCGAAAAACCGAAAAATCTAAAAATCGAAAAATCGAAAAATCGAAAAATCGAAAAATCGAAAAATCGAAAAATCGAAAAATCGAAAAATCGAAAAATCGAAAAATCGAAAAATCGAAAAATCGAAAAATCGAAAAATCGAAAAATCGAAAAATCGAAAAATCGAAAAATCGAAAAATCGAAAAATCGAAAAATCGAAAAATCGAAAAATCAAAAATCGAAAAATCGAAAAATCGAAAAATCGAAAAATCGAAAAATCGAAAAATCGAAAAATCGAAAAATCGAAAAATCGAAAAATCGAAAAATCGAAAAATCGAAAAATCGAAAAATCGAAAAATCGAAAAATCGAAAAATCGAAAAATCGAAAAATCGAAAAATCGAAAAATCGAAAAATCGAAAAATCGAAAAATCGAAAAATCGAAAAATCGAAAAATCGAAAAATCGAAAAATCGAAAAATCGAAAAATCGAAAAATCGAAAAATCGAAAAAATCGAAAAATCGAAAAATCGAAAAATCGAAAAATCGAAAAATCGAAAAATCGAAAAATCGAAAAATCGAAAAATCGAAAAATCGAAAAATCGAAAAATCGAAAAATCGAAAAATCGAAAAATCGAAAAATCGAAAAATCGAAAAATCGAAAAATCGAAAAATCGAAAAATCGAAAAATCGAAAAATCGAAAAATCGAAAAATCAAAAAATCGAAAAATCGAAAAATCGAAAAATCGAAAAATCGAAAAATCGAAAAATCGAAAAATCGAAAAATCGAAAAATCGAAAAATCGAAAAATCGAAAAATCGAAAAATCGAAAAATCGAAAAATCGAAAAATCGAAAAATCGAAAAATCGAAAAATCGAAAAATCGAAAAATCGAAAAATCGAAAAATCGAAAAATCGAAAAATCGAAAAATCGAAAAATCGAAAAATCGAAAAATCGAAAAATCGAAAAATCGAAAAATCGAAAAATCGAAAAATCGAAAAATCGAAAAATCGAAAAATCGAAAAATCGAAAAATCGCAAAATCGCAAAATCGCAAAATCGAAAAATCGAAAAATCGAAAAATCGAAAAATCGAAAAATCGAAAAATCGAAAAATCGAAAAATCGAAAAATCGAAAAATCGAAAAATCGAAAAATCGAAAAATCGAAAAATCGAAAAATCGAAAAATCGAAAAATCGAAAAATCGAAAAATCGAAAAATCGAAAAATCGAAAAATCGAAAAATCGAAAAATCGAAAAATCGAAAAATCGAAAAATCGAAAAATCGAAAAATCGAAAAATCGAAAAATCGAAAAATCGAAAAATCGAAAAATCGAAAAATCGAAAAATCGAAAAATCGAAAAATCGAAAAATCGAAAAATCGAAAAATCGAAAAATCGAAAAATCGAAAAATCGAAAAATCGAAAAATCGAAAAATCGAAAAATCGAAAAATCGAAAAATCGAAAAATCGAAAAATCGAAAAATCGAAAAATCGAAAAATCGAAAAATCGAAAAATCGAAAAATCGAAAAATCGAAAAATCGAAAAATCGAAAAATCGAAAAATCGAAAAATCGAAAAATCGAAAAATCGAAAAATCGAAAAATCGAAAAATCGAAAAATCGAAAAATCGAAAAATCGAAAAATCGAAAAATCGAAAAATCGAAAAATCGAAAAATCGAAAAATCGAAAATCGAAAAATCGAAAAATCGAAAAATCGAAAAATCGAAAAATCGAAAAATCGAAAAATCGAAAAATCGAAAAATCGAAAAATCGAAAAATCGAAAAATCGAAAAATCGAAAAATCGAAAAATCGAAAAATCGAAAAATCGAAAAATCGAAAAATCGAAAAATCGAAAAATCGAAAAATCGAAAAATCGAAAAATCGAAAAATCGAAAAATCGAAAAATCGAAAAATCGAAAAATCGAAAAATCGAAAAATCGAAAAATCGAAAAATCGAAAAATCGAAAAATCGAAAAATCGAAAAATCGAAAAATCGAAAAATCGAAAAATCGAAAAATCGAAAAATCGAAAAATCGAAAAATCGAAAAATCGAAAAATCGAAAAATCGAAAAATCGAAAAATCGAAAAATCGAAAAATCGAAAAATCGAAAAATCGAAAAATCGAAAAATCGAAAAATCGAAAAATCGAAAAATCGAAAAATCGAAAAATCGAAAAATCGAAAAATCGAAAAATCGAAAAATCGAAAAATCGAAAAATCGAAAAATCGAAAAATCGAAAAATCGAAAAATCGAAAAATCGAAAAATCGAAAAATCGAAAAATCGAAAAATCGAAAAATCGAAAAATCGAAAAATCGAAAAATCGAAAAATCGAAAAATCGAAAAGTCGAAAAATCGAAAAATCGAAAAATCGAAAAATCGAAAAATCGAAAAATCGAAAAAGAAATTCCTTAACGAAGATAAACCTAACACCCCCCACTCCGACCGGCACAGCGGTGCGGCATCGAAAGCCGTGCATCGTCTAACGTCGTTCCAGTTCGGCAGACTTCGGCACGGTGTTTGTGTGCGTGCGACTAGATGTATGCGTGTAGACTAGCTGCTAACTGCTCATAACTGATTCTATCTCTTTTAGACACAGTTTCGGAAAAACTGAATTGGAAAATGAATATTGATCTATAAGAATCCACAAAAAAATATGGGACCAACATTGACGTGTTATTTTCCAGATATTTAGGGGATATCAAGTCTCAAACTTATGTTTCTTATTTCAGTTACTATAAACCTATAGTTTCAATGATAAACATTCCTGAATAACCATAAAAATGCTATGCAATAGCTTTACCGCGGCAGTACCTGAGTGCCACATGTATTTTTTTTTAATTTGACTACACAACTGCATATCTATAAATCTTATAAGTGAAAATAGCCAAAATTTTATTAATAAAGTTATAATAATATTAATTTGGGAAACGTATCATTTGCGTATATTTTTTACGCAAATTTTAGATAAATTAGACCTAATTTTGACCATAGAAT